AGAGACTTTTTCCACATAAGTTTTTAATTTTTTACTTGGTTTATTAGGTATAAATATCCACTCTAAAATAATATCTTCCCTCTGCATTAGAAGTCCTGTAGGAGAAATTCTGGAAGGCAATATGACTAGCATGCAGCTAAGATTTGGGTTCACCCTATCCACATGTGCCTCCTGTAATTTTTCCTCAATCATTGTCAGTTCCTTTTCTGCTTCAGCTGTCAGTTCTCTTGGACTATTCAAATCTTTATCACCATCTAAGGTTTTGTTTAAATGAACTATTAGATCAGGTGTTATCCCAACAACTGGTCGTAGACTGGAAATATCTCCTAACAATCTTTGGAAGTCATTAAGAGTCTTTAACCGGTCTCTCCTAATTTGTGCCTTTTGTGTTTTAATTTTCTCTAACCCTATTCTGTAACCTAGGTAATTAATAGAATTTCCTCTTTGAATCTTTTCAGGGGCAATTTGTAATCCCCACCTAGGCAAGACTTTCTTTACTTCTTCAAACATCCTTTCTAAAGTATCTTTATTTGAATCAGATAACAAGATGTCATCCATGTAATGATAAATGATGGACTTGGGGAATTGTTTACGAATTATTTCCAATGGCTTACTTACACAATATTGGCACAGTGTAGGACTATTGAGCATACCCTGTGGGAGGACAGTCCATTGATATCTCCTATTAGGCTGAGAATTATTATAAGTAGGCACTGTGAAGGCAAATTTTTCTCTATCCTTTTCTTGTAATGGTATAGTGAAAAAACAATCTTTCAAATCAATAACTATAAGAGGCCATCCTTTTGGTAACAGAGAAGGCAAAGGAATTCCAGATTGTAGTGGGCCCATAGGTTGAATTACTTTGTTGACAGCTCTTAGATCTGTCACCATTCTCCATTTACCAGATTTCTTTTTTACAACAAACACAGGAGAATTCCAAGGGCTGGTTGATTCTTCAATATGGTGAGCATCTAGTTGCTCTTGCACCAGCTGTTCCAATGCCTGTAGTTTATCTTCAGCTAGAGGCCATTGTTTGGTCCATATTGGCTTTTCAGTTAGCCATTTTAAAGGTAGGGCTGTTGGTACCTCTAAAGGTTTGGTATTTGCTGTATGTTCTTGTACAGCCTGAATGGCTGGTGACCTTTTTCCATAATACCTCATCATATCCTTCCCAGAATTATGAGTTCCTGGAAATACAGGAATGTTAATCTGGGTATCCCATTGCTGTAGCAGGTCACGGCCCCATAAATTTATGGCAATATTGGCTATATATGGCCTTAGTCTTCCTATTTGCCCTTCGGGCCCTATGCATTCAACCCATCTTGTGCTTTGTTTTACACGAGATAGGGTTCCAATTCCCAGGAACTGAACATCTACCTCTTGAAGAGGCCAATTCGGATGCCAAGATTCTGGGGTAATGATACTTACATCCGCACCTGTGTCTAATAAGCCTTCAATAAAAGTGCCATTTATACAGACTCTTAGCTTTGGTCTTTGATCATTAATAGAAGTCTGCCAAAATATACGTTTACTCTGTCCTATTGGGTTTTTTGACTCATCCTCCACACATAATTCTTCATTTAGACCAGTATTACTTTTTACAGCAGAAATTGGAGCTTTTAATTTTCTTGGAGAAGCACGTTCTCCACTGTGACTGGGAATGACTGGGCCACTGTTGGCTTGGGGGCCTGCGAGAGGCCCCCCAAGGAGTTTCCCGATGATATCGGATTGCCCCGTCTGTCTGTTGTTGACCTACATTCGTTGGACCAATGCCTGCCTTTACCGCATCTCCTACATATACCTGAAGGCCGAGGTCTCCTATTTTTGCCATTCCCAGAAGAGATATTATTCCTAGAAATTCTTTGCCTGCAATCCCTTTGCAAATGTCCTAATTTACCACAATTAAAACACCTGGCAGTTTGATGTCTCCTCATTGCTTTGGAAATCGCTTCTCCTACCCAAGATTCATCATTATAGCTAAACGTCTCAACATTCATTGTATGCTGAATCCATTCATCCATAGGTGCTGATCTAGACTTTAAAGGCCCAATTATCTTTTTGCATTCTATGTTTGCATTCTCAAAAGCTAGAGATTCAAGAAGTATTCGTCTAGCTTCTGGGTCTGTTACCCCTATGTCCAGAGCCTTAATTAATCTTTGCAAAAAGTCAATAAAGTGTTCTCTCTGTCCCTGCCTAATTCTGGTATATGATTCAACCCTTTTTGCTGGATCTTGTATCCTATTCCAAGCATTTAAAGCTGCTTGGTGACATAGACACAGTACTTCATCGTCATAAAGAGCTTGGACCTGTGGATCAGCATATTCTCCTGCACCAAGAATTTGATCTTGGGAAACCTCAATACCTTTTGCTCTTCCTTGCTGTTCCATATGTTTGGATTCTTCTCTGAAATAAATTCCAAACATCAAGGAAGGTCCATTATCTAAAACTGCAGACACTAACTGATGGAAATCATGGGGAGTAGCTCTAGCATTAGAAGCCCAAGTCCTTATCATTTCCTTTACATATGCATTGTGCAAGCCAAAATTAACAACAGCTTGCTTAATTTCTTTCAGATCATTCATTGCTATTGGCGTCCATCTAGCTTCTCTGACTCCCTTTGAGCCTTTAGAAGTTGATGCTTTTTCAGAATTAAGTATAGGGTATGTCGCTAGAACCCTGGGTAAGCCAGTTCTAATAGCTGGTGGAGGCATTGTATCCTGTCCTTGTGCCTCCTTACTCTGTTCACCAGCTGCAATAATTTCCCCAATCTTTTCAAATCTTTTTATCATTGTCTCTCTTAAATCCTGAATCTCCTGACCTGTATATATTTCCAGTGATTTCACTGAGGTATCAATTTTTTGGTCCCCATTCTGCACCTGTGATTCCAAAGCTTTAATTTTTTCCTTCAAAGATAACATGTCCTCCTTAAACTTTTCTTGTATATCATGTAGATTCCCATCTTGGAGGTACATTCTGTCTGTTACCTTATCAAAACTTTGTGATAAAGTCTGAAGGTCAAATTCAACAGCCTGAACCCTTTCAGGTAACTTTCTAATACCCTTGGATATGGAATCAATTTTGTCTGTCATAGTATCCACTTGTTCAGATAACCTCTGATTTTCAATAATTTTAATCCTGTCAATTAGTTGTTCATTATTAGTTCGTAAAGATTCTATCATTCTTAGGAGTGCCATATTCTTCTGTTCATTATTAGTTTGTAAAGATTCTATCGTTTTTAGGAGTGCCATATTCTTCTGTTCATTATTAGTACGTAAAGATTCAATCGTTCTTAGGAGTGCCATATTCTTCTGTTCATTATTAGTACGTAAAGATTCAATCGTTCTTAGGAGTGCCATATTCTTCCTTAATGATAGAATATGGAAAAGAAAACTGAGGCCTAGTAACAAGCAAATTAAGGTATCCCCATAATCATATAAACCTTGTATGATGTAATTCATTGTATTAGTAAATATAAGTTTACTAATCCATTGTATTAGTGAAAACAAAGCAGTAAAATTTGCGTTAGAAACGAAAACTGCCATATTACCTATTATCCAGCAGGTGGCGATGTTGCAGAGTCGCGGTGAAAACATGGTCCTGTTTCAGTGCCTTAGTAGATGTTAAAAACTGGAAAATGCAAGTTTCTCAACAAAGTAAATATAATTAAATCAATTCCTGAGACGGAACCAGAAACCCAGAATCCAGGGGTAGAGAAGAGCAATCTGGAAGCCGCTTATGACTCCACGTGACAGAGTCACCCTGAGGGGTTGCAGCTTTCAGCAACCGCGTGCTCTGGTTCGTGCCACTTAAGAGCTGTACTTGCAAGGGAGATTTAAAAATGACTCAGAAAAGAGCAAACCATGCGGGCAGAGACTATGCGGGCCTGTGGAGTTTAAATCCACATGGGGAGTCCAAGGCCGCCGCTGCAAGGCACAGGCGGGGCTGAGGAAGGGAGGGCTCCCGCCTAGCCAAACTCTCGGCTGCCAAGCTGGACTCACGGCCGCCAAGCCGAACTCGCGGCTGCAAGCGGGGAAAGGAGAGGTTCTGAAACCAAACGTTGGGTGCCAAAATGAAGGCGTAAGTCACAAACAATGCCACACCAATTCGGGGTTATGATTATTAGGGTGGTATTTATTTAAAGGGGAAAAAACTTACAGATCACTGTCCCAGGCAACAGCCCTCTACGCAACCAGGAAAGGAGTCTAGTCGCCAGCGGAGCAGGAAGTGAAGAGAAGAGGAGAGGGAAGTGGCCGCTTTTTTAAAGGGAGAGAAACCACGCCCCAGTGGGCTGGTACCTCAGCGGTGATAGGCTGGGAGTGGGAGGACCTCCCGCAACACTCTATCTCAGAAAAGAAAGAAAGAAAGAAAGAAAGAGAAAGAAGGAAGGAAGGAAGGAAAAAGGAAAAAGAAATGGGAGAAACAACATATGATCCAAAGCCTATTCTAGAGCACTGCATTCTTGGAGAAAATGCTCACAATACATGGTTGATATTACAAGGTGCATCAGAGGGTATGGACAAAGGAAATTTTTCTTTTCTTTTCTACTTTTTTTTTTTTAAAGACAGGGTTTCCTCGTATAAGTCCTAGCTGTCCTGGAATTAGCTCTGTAGACCAGGTTGGCCTCAGACTCACAGAGATCCACCTGCTTCTGCCTCCCGAGTGTTGGCATTAAAGGCGTGCGCCACTACTGCCTGGTGAAAATTTCATTAAAAAGAGAAAGCATGAGAAACTTAGGAATTTAAGGGAAGCGTGAGCAAAGTTCCTTTTATTAGTTACTTGTTATTGTGTGTGAGTGTGCATGTGTGATGGGGAGGGTGTGAACATATCACACGTGTGTAGAGTACACTCTCTGCTTCCACTGCGCATGCCCAGAGATTGAACTCATTGTCGGCTTGCCCGCTGAGTGCTTTTACCCAAAGTGCAGCCGCGCGGTCCCATTGTGGTTATTGTCTATAAGGAATCTGGAAGAAAATGAAATTCTTTTCTGTTTTCCGTTTTAGTACCATGCTGTCCAGTTGGTCTGACGGCGGTGCAGGTCACCCAGTCTATAATCAACGTGAGCTGGACTATTGGGACAGTGGCTCAGACCTACGTGACAGTGCTCGAGTCACAGATCGGACAGTCCAAGTGTCACACCCATCAGAACCACTGCCTTCTGGGATGCATCGCATGTGGCATCAACTACACGGTGGCACTGAAAGCCATTAGCCCCACTGGACTGACTGCAGATTGTGCCTACCAAAGTTATTCTTCCAGTAAGTGAATTCTAAACTCTAGCCCTTGAGTACTGATGTCTTAATTGCTGTTCTGTTGCTGTGAAGAGACACTATGACCAAGGCAGCGTTTTTTTTTTTCTATTTGTTTTTGTTTTGTTTTGTTTTTGTTTTTCAAGACATGGTGGATCTGTGTAGCCCTGGCTGACCTGGAGCTTGCTCTGTAGACCAAGCTGCCCTGGAACTCAGATCTGCCTGCCTCTGTGTCCCTAGTGATGGTGTTATGGGTGTGTGCCACCACTGCCCAGCCCAGGACAACCCAAAAGAAAGCATTTAATTGGGAGCTCATTTACAGTTTCGAGAGTTAGTCCACAGTCCATGATCACCATGGTGAGAAGCAGACAGCCTAGGGCTGGGGCAGTAGCTGAGAGCTTTACATCCTGATCCAAAGGCAGCCAGCAGAGAGACTGGGCCTGGCATGAGTGTTTGAATCCTGAAAGCCCACCCCCAGTGACACACCTCCCCTAAAACGGTCACACCGCCTAATCCTTCCCAAACAGTTCTATCAGCTGAGTACCAAGCATTCAAATAGACGAGGCTATGGGGACCATTCTCATTGAAACCATCACAGTTGCTAAGGATTCCATGATCTCCGGTCTAGGCTCAGTCCATCCTTCCCATTTAAAAAGATGGTGTGGGACTGGAGAGATGGCTCAGCAGTTAGGAGCAGTGGCTTAAGAGGACCCAGGTTCAATTCCCAGCACCCACATGGTGCTCACAGATATCTGTAATCCAGCTCTAAGTGATTTGACACCCTCATACTGACAGAAATGCAGGCGGAACATCAATGCACACAAAATAAAATTATATTAATCATTAAAAAGCAATGGTGACCTCTACCTCACTTTCAAATTCAGATTATTTCCTAGTGTCATGTTGCCAATCATCTTCAACCACTCATCACCTTGTTTTTTGAGATAAGTTCTCTTACCAAATTTGAAACTTGTAAATGAAGGCCGCACTTTTGTTTCCCAACTGTCTAGACCCAAATAATCACAGAGAAATTGTATTAATTACTGTTTGGCCAATGGCTCAGACATATTCCTAACTAGCTCTTACATCTTAAATTAACCCATTTCTTTTCATCTATGTATCACTAAGGAACTGTGGCTTACCAGTAACCTTCTGTCATTTTTCTCCTTCGGCAGCTGTGTAGCATCTCCTTCGACTCCACCTATTCTCTTCTCTTCAGATTTCCCGACTGACTTTACCCTGCTAAGCCATTGGCCAAAACAGCTGTGTTCAGTAACTGATAAAAGCAGCATGTATACAGAAGACACCCCACATCAGAGACTCACCAGTCTGGCTAGATTAGTTGAATAGTAAGCACCAGGGGTGGTCCTGTCTCTGCCTCCCCAGTGCTGAGATTATAGGCACATGGCATCATAGAGCTGTTATGCTGAAATTTTACATGCATGCTGGAGCTCGAACTCACCGACCTAGCCCTCTCCTCACACATGTGTGGCAGAGGCTTCACTGACTTAGCCCTCCCCTCATGCATGTATGGCAGAGGCTTCACCATTCTATCCCTCCTGTCAGGCGTGTGGGGCAGAGGCTTCACCATCCTAGCCCTCTCCTCAGCCCTAACCACACAGAGCACTTTCCAACATGTTTACAGTTCCCTTGGACTTGGAACTTCAAAGCTCAGCAGTTTCTGTCAGTCCTTGGTGCTTTGCTTCCCCTGGTAAAAAGGCCAGGCTGTTTCTTGAAGGGGATGATGGTCCTTTTTTACATGACAGAGAGATCTGTAGTGAACTCTAACAGCCTGGCAGAGGTTCCCGGAAGCGTTTGAGCGTACATCCTACCTGGTTTGCACTGTCATCACGCTGCGTTTCTCTCTCTCTTCTGAACCACTCCAGCCTTCTGTAGTTTATCACTTTAACAGGCCAAACGGGAGCAGAGGCTTCTTCCCACAAATGCCACGCCATTCGGGAATAATGGAAAGACACAGCAAGCAGAGCAAGGCTAGCAAAGTTTCCTCTCATACATCATCCTAAACCTGCTGAGGCAGCTGCCTGGAGGGCTGTTTTGGAACAAACTCCAGAGACCGCCTCCAGGCTAGAGGAGAAACTGAACGGTGGTAATTAGTTCTCGCTTTGCTGGGCTCGGGACAGTGGGGTTGAAATATAATTTTGGCTTCTTGGAGGCAGTAGAAAAGATCTTAACTGGGAGCCGAAATTAGAAATGGCTGCTTACAACTCGGGTTGCCTTTCTTTTCCATGATCCTAGTTCCTTTTAGGAAAGAAGAAAGCAAAGGTAGCAGCATCTCCCTGGCCTCCGGGTGAAAGAATCATAATGATCTGTACAGTGTAGCGGGTTTACACCTCCCTTTGGCCCGTGACTTTCTGTTCTGTTGGTTGCTCCTTTCTCATCTGCATTGCCAGTTCTGAGAAGATGGTTCATTGCTTATTTCTCCACCTAACATTTTAAATTTTAATCAATTAATTGATTTGTGTGTGTGCTCCCACAAACACGTCAGGGTTTGCTTGTGGAAGTCACAGGTCAGCATACAGGGGCTGGTGCTCTCTTTCCACCATGTGGGGCCTAGAGGCTGAAATTAGTTGATCAGGCTTCATGGCAAGCACCTGTACCAGCTGAACAACTTTGCCAGCCTTAAAACAATTTCTTAAAAAAAAAGTCTAGAAAAAATAAATAAATAAACCAGTCCAGAAAAGGTGGCTCATAACTGTAATCTCTTTACTCGGGAAGGACAGGCAGGAGGGTCAGGAAATTAAGGTCATCCTGTGCTGTAGAGTTGTTTATGCTAATATTGCGAACAAAATGGAACAATTGTTTTCAACTAAGTAAAAAGAATAAATTAAGCCAGATAGATTAGCTCCCCTTTTTGTTGCTTTGACAAAAAAATCTGACAAGCCAGGCGGTGTGGTGTACACCTCTCTGAGGTAGAGGCCAGCCTGGTCTACAAAGTGAGTTTCAGGACTGCCAGGCTACACAGATAAACACTGTCTAAAAAAACAAAACAAAATCTGACAAAAAAGCCAAACAACTCAAGGGGCCAGAGTGGTAGTCCAGCAGCTAAGATAGCCACTGCTCTTGCAGGGGACCAGTGTTCGGTTCCCAGCGCCCACGCTGAATGTAACTCCAGTCCGCCCTCTCCCAGCCTCAGGCATTGCGTTCACATGTACACCCCACCCGTGTGCACCCACACTGTACACCCCAACCGTGTACACCCCACACTGTACACCCCAACATGTGTACACCCCACCCTGTACACCCCACCCTGTACACCCCACCCTGTACACCCCACCCGTGTGCACCCACCCTGTACACCCCACCCTGTACACCCCACCCTGTACACCCCACACTGTACACTCCACCCATGTACACCCCACCCTGTACACCCACACTGTACACCCCACCCGTGTACACCCCACACGTGTACACCCACACTGTACACCCCACACTGTACACCCCACCCTGTACACCCCACCCTGTACACCCCACACTGTACACCCCACCCGTGTACACCCCACACTGTACACCCCACCCGTGTACACCCCACACTGTACACCCCACCCGTGTACACCCCACCCTGTACACCCCACACTGTACACCCCACCCGTGTGCACCCACCCTGTACACCCCACCCTGTACACCCCACACTGTACACTCCACCCGTGTACATCCCACCCTGTACACCCACACTGTACACCCCACCCGTGTACACCCCACCCGTGTACACCCACACTGTACACCCCACCCTGTACACCCCACCCGTGTGCACCCACCCTGTACACCCCACCCTGTACACCCCACCCGTGTACACCCCACACGTGTACACCCACACTGTACACCCCACACTGTACACTCCACCCGTGTACACCCCACCCTGTACACCCACACTGTACACCCCACCCGTGTACACCCCACACGTGTACACCCACACTGTACACCCCACACTATACACCCCACCCGTGTACACCCCACCCTGTACACCCCACCCTGTACACCCCACCCGTGTACACCCCACACTGTACACCCCACCCTGTACACCCCACCCTGTACACCCCACCCTGTACACCCCACCCGTGTACACCCCACACTGTACACCCCACACTGTACACCCCAACATGTGTACACCCCACACTGTACACCCCACACGTGTACACCCCACCCGTGTACACCCCACCCGTGTGCACCCCACACTGTACACCCCACACGTGTGCACCCACACTGTACACCCCACACTGTACACCCCACACTGTACACCCCACACTGTACACCCCACCCGTGTATACCCACACTGTACACCCCACACTGTACACCCCACACTGTACACCCCACCCGTGTACACCCACACTGTACACCCCACACTGTACACCCCACACGTGTGCACCCACACTGTACACCCCACACTGTACACCCCACACTGTACACCCCACACTGTGCACCCCACCCGTGTGCACCCCACCCGTGTGCACCCCACACGTGTGCACCCACACTGTACACCCCACACTGTACACCCCACCCGTGTACACCCCACCCGTGTGCACCCCGCACGTGTGCACCCACACTGTACACCCCACCCGTGTACACCCCACCCTGTACACCCCACACTGTACACCCCACACTGTACACCCCACCCGTGTACACCCCACCCTGTACACCCCACACGTATGCACCCACACTGTACACCCCACACGTGTGCACCCACCCTGTACACCCCACACATGTACACCCCACACGTGTACACCCCACACTGTACACCCCACACTGTACACTCCACCCATGTACACCCCACACTGTACACCCCACACTGTACACCCCACACTGTACACCCCACACTGTACACCCCACCCGTGTACACCCCACACTGTACACCCCAACATGTGTACACCCCGCACTGTACACCCCACACTGTACACCCCAACATGTGTACACCCCACACTGTGCACCCCAACATCTGTACACCCCACACTGTACACCCCACACTGTACACCCCACCCGTGTGCACCCCACATGTGTGCACCCCACACATACCCACAATTAAAAATAAATAAGCAATGACATCGCTGAGAAAATATGTCAGAAAGGGGTTGATTTCATTTGCAGTTCCTGGTGAGATCATGGCAGCAGGAAGAAGCTGGTCACCTTGTCTGAAGTCAGAAATTGGGTAGGTGAATGCTTGTATTCAGTTGGCTTCCTCCGTATTTAGCGCTGCCCAGGCTCCCTTCTGAGGGAATGGTACAGCCCACATTTAGGGTGGGTCACCCCACCTCAGTTAACATAATCTACATATCCCTCCCAGGCATTTCCAGCCCTCTCAGACACGCCTGACACTAACTTCCTCTAATCCCTCGCAGAAGAGCCTCTTGTCTCTTCTCGGGGGTGATTCTGGAGCCTGTCAAGCTGACAGGGTTAGCCATCACGTGGCCTCCTGACCAGCATCCCAGCACTCAGGAGGTGAGACAAAGAGGTTCGCCAGACAGCCATGATTTCAAAGTCAGCCTGGGCTACATAGCGAACGAGACTCTGTCTCCAACTGCCTTCCAAATAATCAACCAGACAAGCAGTCAGTCATGCTGGGCATAGTGGTGCACACAGAATCCAGCGCTTGAGAGACTGAGGCCGGAAGGTGAATTTAGGGGCTAGCCTGGACTACATAGCAATACCCTGTCTCAAGCAAATGAACACACACACAGGGAGAGAGAGAACATGCACAAATCAAATGAGCCTGATTCTTCTTTAAAAAGTTATACATGACCTTTATTTTAGTTCGTGAGCATTCCACCATCTGGTGCCCTGGTTGATACCTAATGTTTGACTCACTCAAAATATTTGGGAAACAGGACCAGAAGAGTACCCAATCGGTTAGCACAGATGAGGCCAGTCATAGAGGTGGCTGCCTCTAAGGTGTGCTCCTGCTCATAGCTTCTAGGGTGAACACAATGAGGTAGTTTAGTCCCCCTAAAGTCAAATGAGATCGGGGCATCATGCTATACCTCGATAGGACGGTGTACATTTGACTCAGCGTTTGCACCTCTCTGCTGACTGTAGACCTTTGACCCTCCAGGGTTCTATGTTAGAAGCCCCTCCCCCTCCCCACCCACACATGGACTTCTGATCGTGCAGCTCACCACGGGAAGAGCGCACACAGCCCTTCAGACCTTGCTCTGATCTAACCGGAGAGCAATCGTTCTCTGCAGAGGTCTCCAGTTCTGCCTTTTCCCTCTGTAGTGATTGTAAACAAAGCCATGCTCGTGTGGTGATGAAATAATAATTTGGGGCTTGTTTTTATCCTGTAGGTGCCTGCTGCCCACTGGGGGTCAAATTATATAGGCTGGGCCCTAATGGCATCCGGATCTACTGGCAAGCCTCCAGGGGCTCTGTCAATTATAGCACCGACCTCCATGGGTCCAAAGGCATCTTCACGTGTGTCCCAAGTGCTGGCTTAAGTTTCTGTGATGTCACTGACATCCCCTGTGGGGACGTATACACTGTGATGGTCTCGCCAATTGCTGAAACAGGACTGAAGCTCACATTCTGTCCAAAGAAAATATACTCAGGTAAATCAAGTTATGACCTTTAATTTACAACCAGCCCAGTGGTACAGCCCTTGACATAGCATGCACAAGGCCCCAGCGCCCAAAAGTAAAACATAAAAGGAAGATTAAAACTAACCCTTGGGCTGGCAAGATGGCTTAGGGGTATTCTCATTTGCTTTCTCCTACTGAGAGAAACACCAGGATCCATAGCAACTGAGGGAGGAAAGGGTTTGTTTGGCTCATAGGTCACAGCCCATCCTCAAGGGAAGTCAGGGCAGGAACTCAAGCAGGAGCAGAGGCAGGAAACATGGAGGAAAGCTACCTACTGACTTATTCTCAGGCTCAGTTACCTTTCTCAGAGAGCCCAGGCCCACCTGCCTAGGGATTGTACTGCCCACCATGGACTGGGCCCCCCTACATCAATCATCAAAGAAGACAATTTCCCACAGCCATGTCCACAGATCAATCTGTTGGAGAAAATTCCTCAACTGAGGCTTCTGCTTCCCAGGTGACTTAAACTATGTCAAGCTGACAATGAAAACTAAGCAGTATAGTGGGTAAAAGTGCTTGCCTGGCTGAGTGCAATCCCTCGAGCCCATGTTGTGTGTCTCAGCCAGGGTTTCACATCATGACCCAAGCAACCTACAGAGGAAAAGTGTTTATGCGCTTGCATTTCTATCACAGAGGGAAGCTAGGGCAGGAGCTGATGCTGAGACAGTAGAGGGACACGGTTTACTGGTTCGCTCTCCCATGACTTGCCCAGTCAGCTCTCTTACAGAACCCAGCTGAGGGGTGGCACCTCCCACAATGAACTGGACCCTCCCACATCAAATGCCCCGCAGACTTGCCTACAGCCCAGTCTTAGGGAGGATTTTTCAGCTGAGGTTCCCCTTTCTCAGATGACTCCAGCTTGGGTCAGCTTGACATGAAACTGGCCAGCACATGATAGAGGGAGAGAACTGGCTCCTACCAGTTGTGTGGTTTATATCCGTGAACCCACACTCTCACATGCACAAATAAACCCCCAAAATATTAAAACTTATCTTCAGGTCAGAATTACCTGTGAATTAAGAGGCAGGGCAATCCCTCTTAATGGCTAAGTGTGAATTCTCTGCAAGCTGCAGGAATTCAGACTTCTTTGGAATTGCGGTGTGGACCCGTGTGCCTCTCCCCCTTCAGAAAAAGGGCCAGATCCTTACTATTTTCATAGTAAAAAGGATTAAAGTGATTGGCGATTTGGGAACAGATTTTTTTTAAATGTATTTTATGGTTTATTTAACTTTATTTTTATGTGCATTGGTATGAAAGTGTCAGATCCCCTGGAACTGGATCTTCAGACAGTTGCGAGCTGCCATGTGGGTGCTAGGAATTGAATCCAGGTCCTCTGGAAGAGCAGTCAGTGCTCTTAACCGCTGAGCCATCTCTCCAGCCCTTGGGAACAGATTTTTAAACATAGTCTAGAGATGTCATTTGACAACTTGTCATGTTGGACCTTAAAAGACTTGGCTTTCGCTGTACCATAGTGACGCACACTTTTTATCCCAGCACTCGAGAGGCAGGCAGATCTCTGTAAGACTGAGGCCAGCCTGGTCTACAAAGCAAGTCCCAGAACAGCCAGGGCTTTTACACAGAGAGACTTAGTCTCAAAAACAACAGCAGCAGCAGCAGCAGCAACAACAAAGCAGTTTTGAACTTTTATTTGCACAGATTGAGAATGAGGACAAAGGGGGAGTTTGCAGATCAAAGGAAAGGGAATTTATAAATCCTAAATAAGGGCTAGAAATCTGAGTGGGTAGACAGGCTGTGATCACAAACCAGGGCTGACAGCCAGGCCGGCTCACCAGGGCTGGCAGGAGACATTAGCCATTCTCTTGTTCTGTGTTCCAGCACCCTCCGCTACCTTGCCCAGGGCACAACCATATATTTTTCATGTACTTCTAAGAGAAGGAAGAGAAAAGCAATAACGAGGCCCTAGAATTTTGCAGGTGAGCGCAGAGAGATGAGAAGATGCCTCAGGAGCCTTTCCTGATAAGCAGTCCGCATTTTCTAACTAAATTCAGGTGACAAGAGGTTCACGATGGCTCTCGGTGGCAGAGCATGGCCAGCTCTTCCAAGGGGAGCGCTCTCCTTAGATGCCATGCTTTGATTTTTATTTATGTTTTAATCGTGACACTTTCCCCCAAATCTGGTCCATAGCACGTCCTTCTGAGAAGAGACTGGAGTGGACTCGTGGTGTGCAGCTGAGCTCTTTGGAAGACAAGCTCACCACTCAATAACAACATGTCATGTTTGCTGGATACTTCACAAACTTAAGTGCCCTCATGCGTGGTTAGGAGCACACAGTCCCTTTCCAGCAGTCCTGAGTTCAATTTCTAGTCCCCACATCAGATGGCTCAACCACCTGTAACTTTAGCTCCCCTGGCTTACACACACACACACCACACACACACACACACACACACACACACACACACACACCCTATTACATTTATGTCTGGTTGAATGCTCAAAATAACCATAAGAAGTAGATTCAGCAGACCTTACTGTTTCTGGTTTATAAGTGAGACCCAATGGCTCCCAAGCCTGTATCTACAATTCTCTGCAAGTCACTAAATTGTATATGACCCGATTATGTGTGGACATGAAATAGCAAGCGGAGGATCCTTCCTGAAAGCACACTTGGGGGACATAATTTGCCTTACTCCTCATGAGCCAAACCAGTTCAGGCCAGATAGATCATCCTTTCCATTCTTCCCGCCCTGATACATTTAGAATATTTTTAGTGGAAATTTTCCAAGTTTGGTTGCTCTTAAGAGTGGAGAAACCTATCCCACAGTCAGAGAGGGGTGTATGTGGAGCTCGGAGCCAATGTGGGCCTGCAGTTGCTAGGTGTGTTGTTTGGAGAGGGATGCGTGGTGTGTGCAGCCTGTGCAGGCAAAGAAGCTAGGCTGCCAAGTTCATCTTCAGAAGAGGGCCTGTGTACAGTCTGAACCTAGAAGAGTCCCAAGCGGCCAAACCATTCACTATGCTTGCCTACCTCAGCATCTCCTTCTCTTATTTGAGTCTTCTCTTCTTCATCTTTGGTCTACTTTCCATTTACTGTTTTTTTTTTTTTTTTTTTTTTTTTAGCAGTTCTGGAGTTTAGACTCAGGACATAGTACAAGCTAGACAAATACCACACTGCCAAAGTAGCATTCCCTCAACATCCCCCCTCCCTATCCCTGGGCCTTTTCCTAAAACTTTCTTTTGAAACAATGGCTTGCTAAATTGCCCGTACTGACCTCAGCTGCTTAAGTAGCTTGCATTACAGGCTTGTACCACCGCGCCCAGTCCTTTTTCCTTTTTTACAAATGTGTGACTTTCCCGTCTGAAATACATCAACAGGGCTGGGAAGATGGCTCCTTGGGTAAAGCATCTACCACACGATGGTAAGGACCTGAGTTTGGATCCCCAGAGCTTAAGTAAAAGGCCAGGCATGGTAGCGCACACAGCTATAGCCCCAGCGCTTGGCGGTGGTGGGGCTCTAAGCAGATCCCTGAAGTTTATCAGCCAGCCTAGCCGAATCAGTGAGCTTCTGGTTCAGGGAGAGAGACACCGTCTCAAAAGCTAACAGTGGAAAGCATCAAAGAAAGACACCGGGATCAGCCTCGGACCTCCATGCACACAAACTCCCCATAAAAAAATATATCAACGAGAATGTTTTCAACGCTTATGTTTTGCTTGTTTTTTTACAGTTACTTGTTCTGGAAGTACACTAGGGATGGGTAAGTGATTTTTCTCTTCTGGATAGAGTTGGAAAGAATTTGTGATGCTATGTTTCGGAGCTACTTAAAGAAATCACGATTACAGCTAATGCTGTAATTACTAAGAATGCCAAGTGTCTCTTTGAGGCAGTGTCCTGCTTCCCTGCTTCCCCATAGCCTTTCCCTGATCAGGGTGCTTCCCTTCACCTTGCACAAACCGAGATGGATTCCTTTAGATGTTGAAGTCTTTTTAGTCTGAAGTCCCAGGGGAAAATGCAAATAATTTTCAGAGGGCAGCTGATTATTCCCCTCCCCTCATACATGCTTTCGAAGAGGATTCCAGCCTTGCTGCACATTCAGATTTCTTGGCGCCCTTAACATTTTACTGATGCTGGGGCTCCGGCCCAGAAGGTCTGCCATCATTGTCCTAAGGTGGAGGCTGGGCGGCAGGATCTGTGAAAACCTCTCTGGTGAGTTTAGAGGGAGTGGAGGGCCGAGAACTGCTGCCGTAAGCAGAGCTTCTCCATGCTGTGCACACAGCTCCCAGTGGCCCCTCAAAGGCACCTTGCAACTTGGCAGGGACAGAGGCCTCACACTGCTAATGAGGTGAGCACTGGGCACGCTTTGGACAGAGCAGCGGTGAGAGACTTGACCCCTCCCCCTCTCTGAGTAAGTCTTTTGCTGGCCTCTCCATGACAGTGGGAATCATACCTAGGAAGAACTTCCAGACTTCCTCTCTCTCTTCCGTGAAGACAGAACTGGTCACCTCAGCATCCTGGCTGGCAAGGGCCCTCTGACCTGCTAAAACGAGTCCTGGGATTCTGTTTGCTTAAGACTTTTGGTTTTTCTTGATCCTTGGATTATCCTAAATCTTGTCAGCCCCATGAATTAACTTATTTTTTGGGGGAGTGGGCCTCATCTAGGCTGAAACTCGCTATGTAGACCAGGCTGGCCTTGAATTCACAGAGCTCTGCCTGCCTCTGCCTCCCAAGTGCTGGGCTTAGAGGTTTACAGCACAATGCTGGGCTGAACTAAGAGGCAGTTTTGGGTTCAAAACCTGCTGCTTTTATTTGCACTTTGCCAACTTAGTTATAGTCCCTAAGCCTAGTTTTCCTCATCTGAAAACTGAAGTAATAGTCGCTTCATAAAACATAATAAGGGTTAAATAAAATGTGATTGATTGGACACAGTGAGAGACCTGTAGTAATAGTAACTGGTAGTTATCAGTTCAGGATCAATTTCGTCTCATAACTCTCTAGGATCTAGATAGTAACATTTGGATGTGCTACTTCTAACGGAATTCCAGTTTTAACCTTACAGCTCATAACACTTTAACACGCTGGCTTTCAAAGTGTGAGTCTAACAACACCAGCATTTCCTAGAAAGCTCTTAGAAATGCCCTCTTACTAACGGTGGCCCACACTTTTAATCCCAGCACGGGAGGCAGAGGTAGGCAGATCTCTGTGAGTTCGAGGCCAGCCTGGTGTACAGAGGGAGTTCCAGGACAGCCAAGGTTACACAGAGCAACTCTGTTGTGAAACAAAACAAAACAACAACAACAAAATGAAAGAAAGAAGCTGCCTCTGGGATTGGTCAATGGCCTTGTAACTGGGAAATTCTGAGGCTGAGCCCAGCAACTTGGTTTTAACAAGCCCACAAGGATGAAGAAACAGTCTCAGGTCTGAAGACCAGGGCTGCAACTCACGAAAGCCCTTGTGGCTGGAAACTTGATGCCTGGTTGGAGGAGAGAGCGACAGGTGGATGTCTATGCACTCTCTGTCACCTGCCCAGCCTGGGGAGCTTTGGGGACTTTCCTCCCCAGGATGTCCTTAGCAGTTGAAGGTTTATGTTCCCCTTTTGTAAATGCCTGAATGACTGACAGGTGGTGGTGCTTGCTAGGGGACAAAGTCAGTTGGCCTCGGGGTGAAAGGAACGCTCCTCATCCAGTCAGTACTCTGAGCTCAGAGACGCTGGGAGGATTCGTTTCATGAGGCAGGCATTTAGTCACGCTAGTCAGTCAGAAACTCCTGGTCACTTGGAACAGTTTGGCTGCTCACTTTCCTCCTCGCTGGCTGTGGCGTGTCACAGAAATAGCCATCTGACCATCAGCATTGAGAAACTCTCAGCATTGAAGCCGATGTCTGCATGGGTAATGGATCTTAAGTGTGTCCTCTCCCTTGTCCCTTCAGTGATTTACAGAGGGAAGAGGAACGACACCGTGAGCCCCCGGTAGAAGCAGACACTCCAGGAGGTAAGTAGTGAGAGGTAACTCTGGAGGAGTACACAGCAAGATTTTCCCTCTGTTTTAAAGATTTTCCTCATTTCTCTTGCAGAGTTAAGAAGCAGCGACGGAAATAAGCTCTTAGAACACAGAACGCCCGTAGGATAGGAAAAGCTCCATCGGCCTTGAAGGGAGTAATTCATACTCTGTATCAACAGGGCAAGGTCAAGGGTGTCATCAGCTGCAGAGAAGTTCCAGATGAACTGTGTGAGGAGAGGTGAGGGCTCTACAAAGGAATGATCCAGAAAGTCCCCTGGAAGGCTGCCAGAGTGAGTCAGCGTGGAGTCAGAGCCTGCAAGCGTAAAAGCGCTGCTTAGCAGGAATTTGTTCAGAGACTTCACATCCAGACACGCCACAGAATGTTGCCGGTTCCAACCAGCTGAGGCTGGCATCGGATCCTCAGTCCTTCTGCAGCAGCCTCCCAGAGTGCTAGAATTACAGGCCTGTACCGGTTTGCCCAGCGCTCCATTACAGACTTCAACAAGTCCTGTTCACGAGTGTCTCAGTAGTTTGCCATACAGCATCTTCCCTCTAGGGAGGATGGGCGTGGACCCCCACAGTAGTCAGCCCCCCTCCCCCCCCCCTCAGGAGGACAGCATCCACCCTGAGACAGGCCTCAGTTGGGACTTTTTAGCTGGAAGTTGCACAGCAGCGGTTGCTAGGGCAACGCGGGGTAACAAACTCCCTAGGCACAAGTTCCCGGGGAAGCTGAGCTGCCTGCAGATTTCATCCAGTCAGAGAGGCATGTGAGCAGCCATCTGCCAGAGCCTCGGGAAAGCAGAACTGTAGGCCCGTGACTGGAAAGATCGCCATCGGGAGGGAGCGAAGACGGCAGGTGGAGCGGTGGCCAAGGGCAGAGTCTCAGACTATGGCAGACAGACACACACAGCTTCTCGGGGGCTCAGCGATCTTGTAGCCTGTTCTCTACACTCTCCTTACCTTGTAATGGCTTCTTTCCGGGTCTGGGTAGGGAAAACAGCGCTAGATAACATAAATCTGTTGCATCTGGAACAGTGTGTGTCTGTCTAACGCCAGAACGCTAATTTTAGAGTAGTGTGAATAAGATTTGTGTCACGCGTGCGCACGCGGCTGTGGCGCTTACTCAACTCAGAGGAGTGGCTGGAGGGTCCGAAGAAATGGCTCAGTGGTTAAGAGAACAGGCTACCCTTGTAGAGGACCTGGGTTCCATTCCCAGTCCTCACACCTGGTAGCTCACAGCTGTCTCTCACTGTTCCGCGGCGCGGTGGTGATAAGTATCCTCCTCTAGTCTCTGAGAGCGCTGGGCATGTAAGTGAAGCACAGTTTCACATGCAGGAAAAACACCCACACTTATAAAATAAATAAAAAAAATTTAAAAAGCATGGCTCTGGAGTCAAGAATGTATATGCTTGGAAGCAACTCTAAAAGTCTACCCAAAGAACTGGAGCATGAAGTTAGGCACGAGGCAGGCAAGGAGGAAGGAGCAAGTTCCCTTCCTATATCTCCTTTACAAGGAAACCAATCAAAGTCCAACAGAGAGGATGATATATGTAAGACCGACCAGAAAGCCAATTATGAGGTCTCATGCTGGTAATCTCAACACTTAGCAATCTGAGGCAGGAGGATCATGAATTCAAGGTCAGCTTGGCACACATACAGAAATATCTCTGTAAATCAGAGATGCAAAACATGTCTCTGGTAAAGAGATCTTTATAATAAATATCCAATCTTTAAAAGATTTATTTTTATTTTATGTGTATGAATGTTTTGCCTGGATGTATGTCTGTGTATCACGTGTGTACCTGTAAAAGCCAGAAGATGGCATCAGATCCCTTGGAACTGGAGTGGTGGTCGTGAGCTGCCATACAGGTACTGGGAACTGAACCCAGGTCCTCTACAAGAGCAACAAGTGCTGTTCACCAAGAGCTGTCTCTCTAGCCCATTATTATTATTGTTGTTGTTGTTATTTTATAATTTCACACATGTATACTTTTCCCAACCATCCCTGACCATTCTCTCCACTTCTCCACAAAATCTTCATCATGTTCATATCTGTCTGTTTTGTTTAGTGACCCGGCCAAGATTTGCCAGTGCCGCCTGCACGACTCTGGGTTGGGTGTTATCTGTTTGGGTGTGGTGGGCTCAGCAGAGGATACACAGCTAAAAACAGCACCCTCCTCTCATAGGCTCTACTGATAGCCAATGCCCCAGGGGTGAAGGTGGGGCCCCAGGAGCCCCTGGATAAAGAGAAGCCAGTCCTAAAGGCGGAGTTTAATGCTTCAAGTGCACAGATGGAAGAGTTGAGTTTTGTTCAATTTAAAAAAAATTGCTTTTGCCAGCCATGACAGTGCATACCTGTAAGGCCAGCACTCAGGAAACAGAGGCAGGTGGATCTCTGTGGGGTCAAGGCTAGCCTGGTCTACATAGGGGGTTCCTGAGGCAAGTGGATCTCTGTGGGGTCAAGGCTAGCCTGGTCTACATAGGGGGTTCCTGAGGCAAGTGGATCTCTGTGAGGTCAAGGCTAGCCTGGTCTACATAGGGGGTTCCTGAGGCAAGTGGATCTCTGTGGGGTCAAGGCTAGCCTGGTCTACATAGGGGGTTCCTGAGGCAAGTGGATCTCTGTGGGGTCAAGGCTAGCCTGGTCTACATAGGGGGTTCCTGGCCAGCAAGAGCTAGACAGTTAGACCCTGTCTCAAAAAACAAAAATCATTTTTAACTGGGTATGGTGGTGTACACTTTTTATCCTGGCTCTTAGGAGGCAGAGGCAGGTGGATTTCTGTTAGTACCAGGACAGTCAGGGTTACATAGAGACTTCCAGGACAGCCTTGACAACATAGTGAGTTCCAGGACAGCCAGAACTGTGTAGCGACACCTATCACGAAACAAAAACCAAAATTTATTCATGTATTTTAATTAACTAGTTTTTGTTAATGAACAACATAAGCGTCATTATGAAAACGTTACATGTATATTATACTTAGCTCATGTTCAGCCCCCATTATCCTCCCTTGTCCCATTCCACAGGTCTCCTTTCTCCTTTTGTTTGAATACCAGTGATGCAACAGCAATCATAGAGTCCCAGCTGTCACTCTAGAGACTTGAATTAATTAGGTATGGGGTCAGGCCCCAAAATAGTTGTTGGGTTTGTCTGTCTCATGCTCACCAAGCACTTCCGACATGTCGGAGTTTGAGAGACTTTCTGTTCTTGCCTAGGCGAGTTTCTCAAAGTCAGATTTCAGTGGTGGGACACTGAAACCATGGAGGAAACACCAGTGAGACCCAGTGTTCAGAAGAGGTGCATGTCCTGGTGAGAAGCCTATTCTGGACTGTGGGGCTAGCACCCATGAGAGACTACGTGGTACACTCAATTGATAACAATGCACCTTTCAGAATGGCACCTCAGCCTCGGGTCTATGGCTGACTGGAAGAGAAACTGATAAACCTAATGGAAGGGCAGGATCTCTGTCTTCAAAGATCAGTGCAAGAAAACGCCCATATCCTCTGAGTTATGTGTCTGAGGCTAAGACGCACTGGCCAGAGTTCCACAAAAGACAATGTGGTCCACACTGGCGGGGGGGGGGGGGGGGGGGGACACACGGACGGACGGACAAATGAGTGTTTACCTAATTTACTTAGTCTGTATGATGCACAGACCACACACTGCTAAGAGCTTTCTGCATATTCATTTCGCTTCCACAAGGACCCCACAAGCTAAATAAGAACCTCGTCCTCTTTCCACAGATGGAGAAAAGGGGCCCAGAAAAGACAAGACACTCATCCGTGTTCACACAGTTCACTGGTGCAGACACCTCCAGGGGTCATCAATATTTTGTTTGTGCAAAGTCTTTCACTAGATTTTTATGAAAACTTCGTCATTTGCTGGAGAGAAAGACCAGCACCGGATAAAGGGAAATGGGCTCAAAGGTAGGTAACCTGCTCTAACTTCACTGCCTGAAACTCAAGCTATTTTATCTGTTCAACGGCTCTACGGCCTGTGCAGCTTTTCATCTCTGGCCAGTGTCGGTGAGTTTTGCCTTCATTCGGCGGTGTCATATTTGAGAAATACAAACACACTTTTTAATCTGTGTAGGAGAGCCAACTAGAGGAGACCTGGTGAAACAGCTCAGGGAGATTATGCAAAACCAGGGAACGTGGGAGGACAGCCGATAGGATGCAAGAGAAGAGGCGGTTATGATCTTGAAGCCAGACAGCTTCAGGTCCTAGCTCATCCAGAGATTTTTTGTTTTGTTTTGTTTTTCTAGACAAGGTTTCTCTCTGTCGCTGTCCTGGAACTAGCTCTTGTAGACCAGACTGACCGTGAATGCGCAGGCCTCTTCTGCACACCCCCCAGTACCAGGATTAAAGGTGTGTACCACCACCACCCGGCTTCATCCGGAGATCTTTTTATTTTTAATTTTTATTTTATTTTTATTTTTTTCAACCAGAGATATTACATGATGTGCTTACCCTTCTTCAGCCTTGTTTCTCTCATTTGTAAATCAGCAGTAAAGATTTTCATTTTGCTGGGGTTTGCAAGGTTTTAGATGTGTATTCATGAGCAGAGGAGATAGCTCAGTTGGTAAAGTATTTGTGAGTGAGCATAGGACCTGAGTTTGGATCAAAAGCTGGGCAAAAGTCAGCTGTGGTGGTGTGTGCCTGTGATCCCAGTCCTGAGAGGTGGAAACAGGAGGATCACTGAGACTTGCTCATCAGCCTGGCTGTTCCAAATAGGTGAGCTACAGGCTTGAAGGGACTCAGCCCACTCAAGCATGTGGCTCTGGCAGGCCTTGCCCTTCTCCCCCAATTCTCTCTACCTTGCTAAAAAACCATTAGATTACATCCCTGAAGCTAGCCCCCAAAATCTATTCCTGTTTTTTGGCCAATCCCTCCTCCTGAAGTTGACTACCAAGGTCTAGCTATCAAATTATTGAGATCAAGCAATCAAAAGCTCCCCTTGGCTGACCTAATTAACATGCCCAATTCAAACTGAATACCTCATTCTAACACACGGTTTGCCCTTGTACCTTTATAAACTGCGGTGTTCCTGACAAGTTTGTTTCCACTCTATCCAGAGGCAGTCCTTTGTCCCTCGGGACAAATACCCCTGCTCCCTTTCCTGTGTTCCCTTCCCCTTCTCCCCCTTCGTCTGTCTTCCTCTGTCTTCGTCCCTTATCCCTGCCCTCTGTCTCTCTGGGGCAAATAAATCTCCTTCATGCTGAGAACTTGGTCTTGGGGATCCTGAGCCAATACTTTCCTTTCAAGGTTTAGTGAGATCCTACCTCAAAAATCAAAGGCGGAGAAGTAACTGAGGAAGGCACCCGACATCGTTCTCTGGCTTCTGCACACACATGCTCCCACACAAATGCTCCCCCAACATACAAAGATAATGTATCACACACAGGTACAACGCAACTGGTTTGAGTCCACACTGCTAGTAAGAATCAGAGCTAGCAGCCTACAAACCGCAATCCCAGCCGGGTGGTGGTGGTGCACGCCTTTAATACCAGCACTTGGGAGGCAGAGGCAGGCAGATCTTTGTGAGTTCGAGACCAGCCTGGTCTACAAGAGCTAGTTCCAGGACAGGATCCAAAACCACAGAGAAATCCTGTCTCAAAAAAACCAAAAAAAAAAAAAAAAAAAACAAACCAA